ACACACAAATACATAAATAATAAGTGTTAAGAAGGAATGCCATGCTAACGAACATCAAGACTAGAAAACAGTCTTCGGATTTAAAAGTATCCCAGTGGAGCACTTGTGACCATGGGGACAGCACAGCCGTCCAAAGACACATGCTGCGGCACCCAAGCTTGACAGCCTGGGTTCCATCCCGGAAACCCCTGTGGTGGAATGAGACTTCTCCCCAAGTTGTCCTCTGACCTCCACATATGAATTGTGGCATGCACACACACACACAGACACACACACACATACATACCCAAATAAATACGGTTTGAAAAATAAATTAAGAGTACACACTTCTAATCTCAGTACTCCAGAGGCCTAGGCAGGACAGAAGTTTGAGGACAGCCTAGGCTACACAATCTCCAAATAAAAAAAAAAAAGAGAGAGAGAAATAAAGAGTCAAGAAAATAAGATAGGAAAAAAGAAAAAAATTGTAGAAAAAAAAAGGAAAAAAGGGGGGGGTGGGAAAAAAAAGAAAAAAATTGTAGAAAAAAAGAAAATAAGATAGGAGCTGAGGAGATGGCTCAGGGGTGAAGGGCATCCACTATCACACAGAGGACCGAGGTATGACTCCCAGCATACACATGGCCACTCACAACCATCTGTAACTACACTTCTGGTCTGGGAGATTGAAAGGCCCTCTGGTCTTCATGGCCACCAGGCACACATGTGACACACATGTAAGGGCAGGCAAAACACCAGCACAGAGAAAATTAAAAATAAACTTTAAAAAGTTCTAAAGAAAATAAAGTATCCATCTGAATCCTTAGCATTGAGAAGACTTTGGCAGGAAGGCTGTAACTTAAGTATGGACTGAACTTAGAGCAAGTTTTAGACCAACCTGGGTTCTGGGGGAAAAAGACAAACTAAACAAGAGGCCAGGCATAGTCGTCCTGCTTGTAGTCAGTGCGGGGAGAATCAGGTAAGACAGCTGTGGGCTCATGGAAATCCGAGGCTACATAATGAGTTCCTGGCCAGCCTGGGCTACAGCATGAGAGACTATCTCAAGCAAGCAATAGCAGCGTATGCGAGGGGAGAGATGTTAAGAAACAAAAGTAATGAGAAAACCACAAGTCAAAGTTCACACACAATGACACATTCTCGCACTCCTCTATTGTTGTGTTTTAAGGGTTCATGAATGAAGATAGACCCGCACTCCACTCTAAACTCACGGCATTCACAAGCTTCTCAGCTGACGGAGGAAGTCTGGCCGAAGGACCAAGCAATGCTCAACAGCAGGTCAGGATGGAGCGATCGCTTCAAAACTCCGAAGGAAAATGACTTCGACCAAAATTCTGTTAGCTAAAATATCAATCAAGCACGAGGACAGACCCAACGCATCCAACCTGCAAGAGATCCCAAACTAATTTCTATCAAAACCCTCCCAGACTTGGAGCCCCACTAGAGAAGGTAAGCCACTCAAAAAGAACACAGGATACAGGAGAGACCAGCACAGAAGAGCTAAGGAAGCCAGCTATGTCCCTGATGCAGAGGATACCAGGCCAAATGGAAGCAGCGCAATGTCCCAGCTGCTCTGGCAGCCTTCAACCTCAGCCTGCACACCCTGGAACCTAGCCCAGATTCCTGCCGCCACTTGGCAGGGCTGGCTTCATCTTGAGCATATGCTGATGGTGTTTCTCCTGCAAGCCCTGAGGCCCATGTCCCAGGCACTTGCCTCCCAGAGAGGTTTGACTTTGATGGTCCTAGCAATTGCAGAAAGGCTCGGGGTGAATGCAGAGGCAGAAATGACAGTGTCTGATGTCCTTCCAGTCCTAGGTACAGAGTCCCCGGATTCCGATTGAACTCTGATTATCAGGGCTCTCTCCTGCACGGCGCAGTCCTAATATCCTCACAAGGGGCCCTTATGGGAGCCAGATGAACTGAAGCCATTCAGTCGGTTCACCTCTTCCTGAAAGTTATAGTGACAATACTGTCCTTTCCTTAAGGCCAAGTTTGAATATAAGATTATAAAACAATGTAAATACCGCAAGCCGGGAAGGACATTCTCCAATAGTAAGGCTCTGTGGATGTCATATGGGTTCTAGAAGACTTGACCTTGTCCTAAGTTTATTTATTTATTTACTTATTTTTTTTTTTTTCAAGACAAGGTTTCTTTGTGTAACAGTCTGAGCTGTCCTGGAGCTAGCTCTTGTAGACTAGGCTGGCCTTGAATTCACAGAGATCCATCAGTCTCTGCCTCTGGAGTGCTGGGATTAAAGGTGTGCGCCACCACCGCCCAGCTGTCCTAATGGACAGTTTTCTATTGATGAAGATACAGTTTATAACTCTGAGGACATTAACAAGGTATGATTTGGATTTGTATACCCTAGTAGGGAAATTCATTCCAAATATTGTGATTTTTTTCTCACCCTGTAAAATGAAACCATATTATATCTAACACAGCAACTATGAGATATTCTTCTCTTTATGAACTACATAAACAACCATCCCTTTGAATCTTTTTTTGGAAAAAGTTTTCTAATGCTTAAATAAAGCTTTGAAACATGCTATTTTTCTTATTTATTTATTTATCTTTTCTTTTGGGGGGGGGTTCTGTAGACCAGGCTGGTCATGAACTCAAACATCTGCCTGTCCCTGCCTCCCAAGTGCTGAGATTAAAGGCATTTTTATATCACTTATAAAGTTTTTTATGGGGGCTGGAGAGATGGATCAGAGGTTAAGAACATTGGCTGCTCTTCCAGAGGACCTGAGTTCAATTCCCATCAACAACATGGTGGCTCACAACCATCTATAATGAGATCTGGTGCCCTCTTCTGGCATACAGGCAGAATACTGTATATTTTTATATATAATAAACCTTGAAAAAATTCTATTCACATGTGTGTGTCTATGTGAGAATATGCCTTGTGTAGGGGGTTCTCTGAGGCTAGAAGAGGGTGTTGGATCAGGAAGCTAGAGTTATAGGAAGTTATGAGCTGTTTGACCATGGGTGCTGGGAAATGAACCCAGGTCCTCTGGAAGAGCAGTAAGTGTTCTTTTTTTTCTTTAAATGAAAATACATGTAACTCACAAGCTTTTACTTAATTATATTATTTATTTATTGTGCATGTATGAGCACAGGTGTGTCGGTGCCCATGTAGAGTTCAAAGGTCAATGCCTCCTCCACTGTACTCCACCTTATGCTTGAGATGAAGGTCTCTCTGCAGACCTAGGGGGTCACCATTTGGGCTACAGTGGCTGGCCAGCAAGCCCCTGGGACTCACCCCCAGTACTGGAGTTACAGTCATGTCCTAAAATTCAGCTTTTACTTGCTTTGAATCCCAGCACTCGGGTAGCAGCGGCAGGCAGATTTCTTTATGTTCGAAGCCAGCCTGGTCTACAAAGTGAGTTCCAGAACTGCCAGGGACTGAGAAACTCTATCTTGAAAACCGCGCACGTGCAAACACAATGTATATATGTGTACCTGTGAGGAGCACACACGCATGTGAGTGCAGAGGCCCACAGCAGCCAAAAGACTGGATTCCCTGGAGTGTGGCAGCTGGGTTGTGAGTCTGATGTGTATTCCTTTCTGAGAGCAGGAAATAGCACTCTAACCTCTGAGCCTTCTCTCTGGTACTCCATGCATCCGCACCCCCACCCTTTTTTAAAAAAAAGATTAAATGTGTCTTCATCATCTCTTGCCAAAAAACATTCTGCTATGGCGGCCTCAGGAGTACAACTGGGGGCATAAAGAGTGGAGAGTGAAGGTCTGAGAATTTTGAGGGTTTCACTTTTTGACGTTTCTGTGTTGTCTAAATAATCTACTTGATAGCCTTCTGTAATGTTGAAATTGTGCTACACATTTTAGTTTTATTACGCTAAAAGGCAAATAAGGATTATACAAGATTAATTATTTACCCCTGGACCCCAGAAGTGAATTTAGAAAACGAAAACCAACAAAACACAGCCTTGAAGGCTGCCAGTTGGGAAGAAAGGGGAGGTCAAAAGGGCGTGTCTCCTGAAGAGGAAAAACTACGCCCTCACCCCGTTCTAATTCAACCTGCTTTTCTTGCAGTATCGCTATGCAGATTAACCCCTGGGTTTCAATTTAGGAGCAGGAAGTCCTTCTACACTACGCTCGCTCGGTTAAAGTGTAAAATCGCTTGGCTCTGCTCTTTGGAAACCCACGGAGTGAGGATGATAAAAAAAAAAAAAAAAAAGGCTGGCAAGCTAAGGAATAGGCGCCTCTGGAATTATCTAGAAATGAGACCTGTGGTCCCAGCAGGGTGAAGAGTTTGCGAGCGAGGGAAAAGGAGGCTGATTTTGTGAGCATATCCACTCCCGAGTGAGGCTCGAGTTCCCACGCCCCCTCCTCCCATCGCGGCAGCACTGTGGACGCGAGCCCGCCCCTCCACCGCTACAGCTGGAAAGGTCAAGTATCTGCCTTTCGGGCTGAAGTCCCTTCCAGTGGCGACCTCGGAAACCAACTCACCGGCTGAAAACCGGCCTAGCCCACAACAACCACCGCCACCGCGACCGCCATCCGCGCTTACTTCCCTGCAAGGGCCACTCGCCACGCCACTCAGGATGAACTCCCAAAGACTTCCCTCTCATCCTTGCGCTTGCAGGGGCGGAGGGCGGACGGGAAAGTCAAGGCAGCACGGACAGTTCCCGACCATGGCTCCGAGCAAACGGGAGAGTCCCTCGTCCCCAGACCCTCGTGGGGCCGAGGCGGCGGCGGCGCCCTGCAGGTCGTGCATCCCTACCGGTCGCACTGGGACGCTCCAGGGAACGAGATAGAAACCTCCCAGCCTCCGGAAGAGATGCGCGGCGGAGAGGCCTGTCCCGGCCGCGTCACACAGCACGGGCGGCCGAGCGGACGCGGGCGCAGGCCGGGCCCCGCGGGTCGCCCGCGCGCTCCTCCGCACCGACTCCGGCGGCGCCACAGCACATCAGGCCGTGCCGGGCCGGTACCCCAAGCTCGATCGGCGGATGGTGGAAGCCCGAGACCTGCCAGCCGCACTCACCCGGCTACCTGCGACGTCCACACAGTACCCAGGCGGGCGCAGGGACGTCGAGGGTGCGCGTCGGCCGGGGTTGCTGCGGCCCGCTCAACCTCAGCCCGGCAGCCGGCGGCGGGCGCGAGGCCAAGGCGCCGGTGGGGCGGGAGCGAGGCGCCGTGCGCACCGCAGCGACCAATGGGCTTGCAGCAAGTGGCCTGCGTGGGCGGGCCATAACGCCGGGAGGCGGGGCGGGGGCCTCGGAGGCGGGGCGGGGCGAGAGCCGTGCTCATCGCGGCGACCAATTAGAGTTAGGCCAGAGAGGCAGGGGCGGGGCTTGATTCTTGAGGGCGGGGCTGGCGCGGTACTCTGCTTGTTGTCCAGGAGCTGAAGTCTGGACCTCGCTGGCTGCGGATTCTGGCGGTGTCAACACAAGCACCTCAGAGTTGGCGAGAACACCTTCGTGGGGAACCCACGCCTGCTCCGCAAGATCACTTTGCATTTCGGCGGGTGACTATTGTTCACCAGCTGCCGAGAGTCGAGCACGTGCTTCAAGATATTCAGAAACCCAGACCTGAAGAAACGAAGTTACACCTCCAGCCGGTACTGGTTCCCGTCGCTACCCGCAAAATAAAGCCAAACTGCTATTTCAGCCTGATGATTCTTTTTCCATCCATCCAACCATACTTTTGGCTTTTTTAGGAACAAATCTCTACTGATCTCTTAATGCCCCTGGGTTTTCAGTATGACTTCAAAGGCCACATTTCCTACAGAATTTAATCAAATAAAGTTGAGGAAAGGTACGAAGTCCAAGTTATTACTAAATTGGATGCAAACACGATTTACCAAGAGAGAATAAAGCAAAAGATTTTTTTGTCATGTAACCGTCACAAATATTATCCTGGATTGTGTTACTCCCATGGTTCTTGTATGTAATCTGGGACTTAGATGCTTGATTAACATTTGCTGCATAAATTCCTTTATGAAGTATGGGGTTATGCATGCGCCCTAGCAAGCAGGCAGGAGGACACAGAGGGGAACAGCTCTGTAAGCACCTGGCCCAGGGCTAAGGGATGTAGCTCAGCTGGTATAGTATTAGCCTTGAATATGCAAGGCTCTGCATGGTACCCCCGGCCTCACATGAAGCAGATGTGGTGGTACATGCCTGTAATGCCTACATTCCAAAATGCCCCCGCTTTGCTTTGAGTATGGTCCCAAGCAGAAGGATTCCTACTTCCAGCAAGACTGAATTACACAGTAAATTCCAGACGAGCCTGAAGTGAGACCCTGTCTCAAAATACCTGAGGAGCTAGGATGTAGAACTAGGTGCAACTTGGTTCCACTCACCATCAGCTGTTTAGAAAATGGGACTGGAGAGATGGCTCAGATGTCAAAGATGCTCTTACAGAGGAGCCAGCACCCACATGGAGGCTCACAATCACCTGTAACTCTAGATCCAGGGAATCTGCTTCCCTCTTTTGACTTCCCTGGGCACCAAATATGCAAATGGTACACATGCATACATGTAGGCAAAACACTCGTACATTCATACACATAAAATAAATTAAAATATAAAAAAGACCAAACCTACATACATGTTTTTTATTTGAATTGGAACTCTGCCACCACATAGGTAATCATGTGCTTTGGGTTTTTTTTTTTTTTTTTTTTTTCTTTTTGAGACGGAGTTTCTTTGTGTAACAGCCCTGGCTGTCCTGGAACTCACTCTGTAGACCAGGCTGGCCTCAAACTCACAAAGATCCACTTCTGCCTCCAGAGTGCTGGGGCTATAAAGGTGTGGGACACCACGCCCAGCCCATGGATTTTCTTAAATTCTCTTTGCCTAAGCTCCTGCAGAGGCTCCCTGGACTGGGAAGATCTTGAAACTTTAGGATCATTTTCTCCCTAGGACCAGGACTAAGGGCCCTAAACAGCAAATAGACTAAAAGAAGCCGACCAGGAAGAGAGGAGAGCAATTCAGGACACTCGGGCTGTTCACATGGGACTCCATAAGTTCTGATATGTCCCTGTCAAGATTTCAATGAACTACTTCTAACAGTGCAATTCATACCACCACCATCTAAGAGTGCAAAACAAACACCAGCACCACAACTAAAAGACCGAAATGGCCTTTGTAAACACGATGTGTAAACATCCTCAAACACTCTCTCCTTCAGTAAGTTTACTGTGTTGAGCAACAAAAGGACTTCAAACTGCTGCCTGAAGAGGAAGGAGACTCCTTGTTAAGACCGTGGTGGCTCTGCTATGAAGGAAGGTCTGTGTGGCATTAATCATTTGGCGAAAATACTGAAGTCAAGGGCTAATCTAGATAAACTCTAAAGCTTTTAATTTTCTGCTTTTAGTTAACTTGAACTAATTTTGGAAGCCATGTGACTGACCAATACAGCATTAGTCACCCACAGCTTTGTTTTAGAAACACCCCTGGCATGTGGCTCAAGGTGACAATTGTTAAGGTTATTCTTCAGAGCTCTGATGGCCACTTCTGTTTAAAACACCTAACCCGGGGCTGGAGAGGTGGCTCAGTGGTTGAGAGCACTGCTTGCTCTTCCAAAGGTCCTGGGTTCAATTCCCAGCAACCACATGGTGGCTCACGACCATCTGTGATAGGATCTGGTGCCCTCTTCTGGCTTGCAGACATACATGCAGACAGAATACTGAGAATACTGTATACATAATTAATAAATAAATCTTTAAAAAAAAATAAAACACCTAACCCCTGCCAGGCAGTGGTGGTTGTAGGCGGAGGCTGCTTGTCCATTTCCCCAAACGCCCTGACTCGAAATAATCACACAGAACTATATTATTTGCAATACTATTTGGCCAATAGCTTAAGCATATTTCTGGCTAGCTCTTATATTTGAAAATAACCCGTTTCTATTAATCTGTGTATCGCCACATGGCTATGGCTTACCAGCAAGGTTCCAGTGTGTCTATCTCCTGCAGGTAGTTACATGGCTTCTCTCTGACTCTGCCTACTCTCTCTATAAATCTCTTTCAGCCTGGCTTTACTCTATTAAACTATTAACCAAAAGCAGCTTCTTTATTAACCAATGGCAATAAAACATATTCACAGCACACATCACCTTCCACATCAGGTTGTGATGGCACTCACCTTTAATCCCAGCACTTAGGAGGCAGAGGTAGGCAGATCTCTGTGAGTTTGAGGCCAACCTAGTCTATAGAGCAAGTTCCAGGATAGCTAGGGCGATTACACAGAGAAACCCTGACTTGAAAAATAAAACAAAACAGAAAAAAAGAAAGGAAGGAAGGAAAGGAAAAGAAAGAGAAAACGCCTACCCCTTCACTTAAGCTTGTGTAGGAGCCCGATAGGGGACACTTTGATGATAGCATACTGAAGATTTTGCCCTCGATCACACCAATGCTACCATTTCCTTAACATGTTTCGTAAAAGGTCATGAACATTTATTACATGTGTGCAGACATGTTTGTAGGAGATTGTCTGGATTGCCTTAGCTGATGTGGGCAGACTCAGCCTGAGAGAGGGAGGCACCATTCCCTGGTTTGGAGCCCTGGACAATATATGAGAAAACACATAAGGAAGAAGTGTGCGTGCATTCGTTTCTCTCTCTGCTCTTGGCGTAGGCTAAAAGGTTCAAGTCTACTTCTGGGTTTGAAAACTCACTAAAACCCACCAGTCCCTGAGCTCAAAAACCACCATTCCCTGAACTTGAAAATCCACTCCTCTGGGCTCAAAAAACCACCAATCCTTGGGCTTGCCTTGAAATCCCATCAATCCCCACCTTGGAAATCTCCACCCTGGAAAACCCTGTCCCCAAGAAACCCTATATAAAACCCACCTCCTGCTCAACTCCCTGATGCTTCTCAGCTGAACAGAAGTAGCCACCTTCTTGTGTCCTTCCCAATACATTTTTTGTCTGAGGTTTGTTGTGCAATGCGACTTTATGGTATCCCTTGGTTCCGTACTGCCAGGGTACCTTTCCGGAACCTCAGAGCTGCAACACTTCCCCTGGGGACGCCTTTCCCTTCAGCTATGACACACTTGGTTGTAGATATGATGGGACTAGCTGTCATAAGCCACACGTTGGGCTGACATCTGTCATAGGCCACATGTTGGGGTGACATCCGTCAGGATCCAACCCCAATTAGGTTTGCACGGTCCAGGTAAGAACGTGAGGATTAGAATTATTAAGCAAAAGGAACAGAGATATGAGAGAAATAAGAGACAGAAACACAGAACAGCATCGGGAGGGACATTCAGTGAATACTGAACCTGCCTGCATTTATTTTCCACACACTTATATACTTCACTCCAGAAGGGGAGAGGGGAGGCAACAGACTTCATTACCACGATATAAGGAATAGACCAGGTATCCTGCAGGCAGCTACTCCCTGGATCCTCCTGCCAATCCTTTTTGAAGAAGCAGTAATAGCAAGGTGGAACTGACCCACCTCTATACTCAAAATACCAATTAACCACACCCTAGGTCAGGAGCGCTTGTTTGTACTCACACCTGTGGTCAACAACTTTGAAAGAGCAAAAATAAGCTCAGACTCTCTGACATTGAGTCAAGGTGGAACAGGCTGACCTCTGTGGACCCTACTACGAGCCACTTTAAGTTCCTGCAGCCTTGACTTCTCTGATGGACCATATAACCTGAAACTATAAGGGAAACAAGCCCCCTCCCCCGTAAGATGGCTTTTGTCAGGGTGTTTTATTTCATGAACAGAAATGAACCTAGAACACATCATCACCTGGGAGTTCATTGCTCCTGGTGGGAGAGGAAGCATTTCTTTCTGTGGTGGAGATTCTAGACACAGCAGACAAGGAACAGAAAAATTCACCTCAAAATGACTTAAATAATAAGACAATTTGGAACTAGGAAAGTTGGCGGGGGAGTATGATAGAGGATATGAGCTGAAATTTTATGTCTCCTCGATATTCATGTGTTGAATCCTAATTGTGATTGGTCTCGAGGATGACGCTTTCCTGAATGAGATTAATGGCCCTTATAAAAAGAGGTCTCTGGCCCAGAGAGTTGGCTCAGTGGAGAAAAGTGCTTGCTGACGAGGCTGAAGGCCTCATAGGATCACTAGAACTCATGCCGCAGAAGGAGAAGACCGGGTCCTTCCAATTGTCCTCTGGCCTCTACCCGCACATGTGTGCGCACACCTAT